CACAGGACAGAGCGGAGTTTAGGGCTGTTGTACATAGGGTCGCTATGAGTCGCAGGCGACTCGACGGCACATAACAACAACAACAACAATGCTCTTTAGAAGAACTCTGTTTAGCCAGTAGCGCGCTAGTGGCCTACTGGTAAGGAGTGGTACTACTAAACCAAAGGAACACAGTTCAAGTCCACCCGCTGCTCTGTGGGAAAAGATGGGCAGTCCCCCTGTTACTTACACCCTCTGAAAATCTGCTGGAAGGTCATCTCTAAGTCAGTTCTGACTTGAGGGCTCTTAACAAGTATCCACTCCATTACTCCATTTCAGCTTCACCATGGTGAGACTCAAAGCTGCGTTCTAGAGTAAATTGTTCTATACACACCATTCTAGCCTGTTTCTCTAAAGTACTCAAGAGCAGTGGTGTCTCTCTGGAAACTAAGGTGCATCTGACACAGGCCATGGTCTTTGCAATCACTTGTTATGCATTAGAGAGTTGGACGATGACTAGGGAGGACAGAAGGAGAATTGATGCCTTTGAGCTGTGGTGCTGGAGAAGAGTATTGAGAATACCATGGACTGCTAGGAAAACAAACAGATTTGTCATAGAAAGGGTGAAACCAAAAAACTCCTTGGAGGCAAGGATTCTGGGGCTTCGTCTGACATACTTTGGGCATGTTGCAACGAGGGACCAGTCCTTGGAGAGGGACGTCATGCTTGGGAGGGTGGAGGGACCGCGCAGGAGGAGAAGACCCTCTATGAGGTGGATTGATTCAGTGACTGGGGTAATCGGGTTGGGAGTGTCAGAGACGGTGTGATTGGCACAGGATAGAGCAGGTTTTAAGGCTGTTGTACATAGGGTTGCTATGAGTCACAAACGACTTGACGGCACATAACAACAACAACAGAGATAATGCAGGATGTGAGAATCATTGGAAGCTCTTTAATCTTCCGCTAGTCACGTGGACTTGGGCTGCTAACCAATGATGGTTTCTGTGGCGGTTCGAATCCACCAGAGCCTTAGCTGGAGAAAGATGGATAATATCCTCCCGTTTGATTCACAACCTTTGAAAATGTGCTGAGAAGTCAGCTTCCAGTCGGTTCTATCTTGACACAATGAGTGAGTTAATGGTGGAAAAGTCAGATATTAAAGAATCCTTTACCAGGCTGCTCCTTGGAGGCAAGGATTCTGAAGCGTCATCTGGCATACTTTGGACATGTTGCAAGGAGGGATCAGTCTTTGGAGAGGGACGTCATGCTTGAGAGGGTGGAGAAACAGTTCAGGAGGGGAAGACCCTCTATGAGGTGGATTGATTCAGTGACTGGGGTCATGGGGGTAGGTGTGTCAAAGACAGTGAGGTTGGCACAGGATGGAGCAGAGTTCACAGCTGTTGGTCACTATGAGTCGCAGGAGACTTGATGGCACACAACAACCATAGAGTCAAAGCCCATAACAAACAGACTAGCAGGTTTTCAGAGGCTTTTAATCAGATTGAGTTTGTTCACAGCTTTAGCTTGGCTCCACAGTCAATACTCTTGGCAATAGCATCCAAGAAATTAAAAGACGTATTGATTGTGATGGATGGGAAAGTCCGCTGTTAGGGACCTCTCCAAGGTACTAAAGAGCAATGGTGTCACTCTGGAGACTACGGTGCACCTGATACAGGCCATGGTCTTTGCAATCAGTTGTTATGCGTCAGAGAGTTGGACAGTGACTAGGGAGGCTAGAAGGAGAATTGATGCCTTTGAACTGTGGTGCTGGAGAAGAGTATTGAGGGTACCATGGACTGTTAAGAGAACAAACAGGTTTGTCCTGGAGAGGGTTAAACCAGGCTGCTCCTTGGAGGCAAGGATTCTGAGGCTTCGTCTGACATACTTTGGCTTTGTTGCAAGGAGGGACCTGTCCTTGGAGAGGGACGTCATGCTTGGGAGGGTGGAGGGATGGTGCAGGAGGGGAAGGCCCTCTGTGAGGTGGATTGATTCAGTGACTGGGGTAATCGGGTTGGGAGTGTCAGAGACGGTGCGATTGGCACAGGACAGAGCAGAGTTTAGGGCTGTTGTACATAGGGTCGCTATGAGTCCCAGATGACTCGACGGTACATAACAACAATATGATTTTTGTCCTAGCCGATGCCAGGGGCTGACGCGGTACCGGCGAAATAAGAGGGGATGTCGTGGGGACGTGCAATCTAACCCCAAAGCAGATTTTACCCGGTGGAAGAGGGCCCCATGCAAGGGGCTGCAGGCGGGCTG